GCTTCTGCGACTATCTCAATTTCCGTGATGTGGGCCATCCTTCCGTCATGCATTTGACGTTCCGTATGTTTGAGACGCTTAGATATCTGCATTTCACTTTTTTCCTCCAGAGTCCCTCGCGATTCACTATACCGAAGACCATCGTCAGGCCTACGATGGTGATGCAAAGGGTCGTCCGTATTTCCTGGCATTCATTCGCAGCTGTTGAGCAGCGAAATTCACATCGACGGCGCCATGGCTCCTTCGGAATTCGCCTTGGTTTTCTGGGAGGAGCCATTATTCCAGGCGCATTTTCCGGCGATCCAGAAGGCCAAGGGTGAAAATCTTCTTCGCAGTGTTTAGAAGAAAAGTGTCTCGATAAACATGTCAGTATTGATAATTACCTTTACGTTTGGAGATTTGTGTGATGACGGCGTGTTTTAAATCCCAAGCGGCTTGTTCTTGCCACAACAGCACCGGAAATAGTTATGTGATTTTGCACACCAAAGGGCCGCCGTGCGTGTACAGTGCGGCGGCACTGCGTCAGATCACGAAGAATTCCCGCTGGAGAGCTGTTACACAAACCTGACTGTTTCCGGAAGGGAAGGTGGACAGTTCAGGTGTTTAAGTGTATAAATGTAAGGTATCCAGCTAGGGCATACACCATGCATGGACGAGAGGTCATTCGTGTGCCTCGCGTAGGTTGTGGTTGCTCTACATGCCCTTTAACGTGCATCCAATATTCTATCTGCAGCCGTCCGATGATGGGCTCTGTCTAGGAGCCACACTCCATCAACTGCCTCAATAGACAGGCTATATCAGATGAGGTTATGCGGTCTGGGTGTTCCTACGTCCGCTGTTCATGCTTTCTGTTTGCTGTCCCATTCTCCTACCTCCCCGCTTAAAAGTCCTATCGGGTGGAGTGATATGCAATCTTGCAGGCAGCACGAACCACAAAACAAAGTGGTGGCTCACAGCGGAGTGCGTTAGCTGTCTGGGGTGTCTCTGTTCATTCTAGCAGCCCTCAACATTCGTCCTATTTTGGGAAAGTCGCCGAGCACCCGACCGTATCTAAGGGTGGCACTGACCGATCGAGAGTTAACGCTCCGTAAGGCTGATATAGCTGTCCTACAGGAAACTCTATTCCCCTAAAAGGGTCAGTCTGAGGAGTTGGGTTCCGGTTGCATCTTCTTCAAGAGCCACCCAAAGACAAGTCGACGCAAGGACTGTGTTGTCTCTACCATCCCGAACAACATCGGCTGGCGTCTGCTTCGTCTGCCGCGGGGCATCACCGATCGTCTCATGATCCTTCGTCTGCCTCTTCATAAAATTAAATTCGCCCCTTCGTCAGTGCTTACGCTCCCTCAGTGAATACCCTAGTGAAGTGAAAAGCAAGTTCTACGAAGGAAAGCACGGCTTCCTGGCGGCTGTGCCGATTGTGGGTGAGCTGATTGTTCACACTGACTGCCATAAAAACGGCCTTCGGAGAACATCACCTCCCAACAAACCTATTCTTCCGCCTCCCGATACGACAAGATATATCCTGGATGCAACTGTAGTCGCGTCACTGGCAGCTGCTATGCTACGTTTGCGTCCGGACGCCAGATCAATAAACCTTGCTGATGACCAAGACGATCTGCGACTTCCATAGCTGGACGGACCATCGCCTGGTCATCTCCAAGATGAGGCTCCGACAGTAACCTTCTAGGAAGCTACAAAGTAAGAGACCTCCACGTAAATTAAATATGGTTCCGTGTTATCCGTCTGCTCGCCGTTTCGATTTCAACAATCAGATGACTCAGCACCCGGATGAACTGCAGACCACGAAAAACCCCGGCGCCGTGGAGGTACAGTGGTGCCATACGCGGGACGTAATCAACCCCACCGCCTCGATTTCCTCTATCGTCCACGCCGCCAACAATATGTTTGGTTTAACGACGACGAAGAAGAAAGGTTTAATCTGTTTTCCGAGATGATAGACTGTAAAAAGACCACGCCAACCACGGGACGGTTGCAAACGAAATGGTCGGCTTCAGATATCGTCTGTTGATGCATCAATAGCTGCGGAAGATGCGAAACGTCTGGATGGATCAGCAGGCCGGGAAATACAGAGCCTTGGGTTCCGCAAATAATGGGGAATTCTTTTGACTTTATCAAGGAACTTGACGGTCCCTGCATTAAGGAAGCGCTCGCAGCTCAGTTTCGATGGAACAGTACTCAGCTCAGAGAAATCAAAGACTCTAGAACGCCAAGCCGACCATATCAGAACCTTCCCCCACCGTCCATTTAGTCTCCCACGCACCATCGACCGACTCTACCAAGTGAATGCATGCGTTCTAATATCACAGAAAAATCTTCCTAAAACACTCCACTTTTCTTCGAATTTGAAGTCGGCTCCGAGACCCAGTCAGTAATTTTGTCTCATCCCATACTTAAATCTTCTCTACAACCAGCACTACCAAATCCATCACAAGAAGTGCCGCCACCGCCAAGATCACCACCAATATGACCACGACCACCACCCCCACTGCCATTAACTCATTAACCCCAGTCCATCCTGTCCTCGCACGCAAGGATCGAATCGGTCCTTTGCAAATCAGTTACAATGAGACCGAAGAATCAGGGCAGGAGTCTTAGAATACGTCCATCGCTCCTTTTTCTCATGTCCACGGCATCACAGAACGTACGATCATCGCATGGAGGCATTTGTACCTGTGTACCCCCACGAATATTCTGGGCGTGAACCGCAAACTAAACCCCATCACCTTATTTCGTACCATCTCCCCAAACACCTGTGTGGATTATACATGAGCCTAATCTACAATGCGCACACAAGTACCATCCGCTTAGCATCATAATTTTCCCCAACGTGAAGCGTCTGCTTTACCAGAAACCAATTGGTTTACAAGTTAACTTTTCTGCGCACCCCCTGGGCATGCGGATGACGTGGCCGCTCGCGGCGGTTGAATGTTTAAACTATCGTAATAGCTGTTCCACATTTGGGGGTTGCCCGATGAGTCCTGCTGAGCCGGTTGTGCTTGCAGACGTGTGCTAACGATCTACGTCGCAGAGTTTTGAACAATAACCTCTTGTTCGCGAATGACACAAAAATTCCGAGTACGACACAAAATGATTATTCTATCAAAGACGGTCATTTATATACTAATTAATTTATCGAACAATGCCGGCTTGTGGAGTATGCAAAATTTTAACCATTAGTGCTTGCAGTGCAGGTTCAAACTTAGAATTCATTTATAATTAATCCCAGAAAATGGCAGCCAGTTTGCACATTAAGGATTTGTTACCAGTGCCGAATAAATTTCAACGACGTTATCTTTTTGGATTCCTCCGATGGTATTCAGGACACTTACCCCGTCGAAGACGTTCCCAAAATATGACTAAAGAAGATGCCTGTGCTGTCTAAACGGCACTTATGGGATCTTTCCAAGGATACCCCTACAATCGCATTGTCTGCATTTCGTTCGAGTCACAGAAGTCTATCAATAAGTCCAATGTCAGCCCACTTGCATTTCCTGTTTGCATCGGTACTTACCATGTACATTTTTGCGTGAAAATACACAGTATAATAGTATAGCAGTATAATAGTTAGGCAGTTTTCCTATTCTTTTATCCTGTTGTATTGGCGCCGTCATACCCCTCCCATTTACTATACCTCAAAGTCTCCAGTTTTTATGGGGGCTACGATGTATAGCTTACGTATAATACATCCGGTGAATTTTCGTACGACTCCTCCATAGTTTGAGTCTGTGGATTTTACCATGAACTTCTGAGACTAAGATCACATCCCGCGTCATCTGCGGATAGCCAGTGGCCATTACCCAAACCTATCCCATCTGTCTGCATCACCATATAGCATGGCTTTTAGGGTGTGCTGATTCTTCTGCTGGGTGAACTTTGATATTTTCGAACCCAGAACAAAGACCACATCGTTCTCTACCTTCAGCGTTTGTAATGAAACGCGGCCTTCGGCATATAGAATATAGGTCCTAGAATCGAATTCCTGCGCCCAGAAATCCAAGCAGCCCCATCTAAAAAAACCTTTCCCATGTTTTATGAACTGTTTCGCAATTTATCTGCCCATTGAACGGTTAAATGCTCAACAACCAAGGTGGAAGATTGGGATGCGAACGACTCTTCGTTGGTTTGATTTATAATAAATAGCGCCTTTTTGAAATTCATCCTTGCACGGGAAATGCTTAAAGGCTGCTCATTTGCAATTGTTAATGTCTTCGCATGTTTCTTCGTGTTTCAAAACAAAGCAGCCATCAACCAGACATGTTCCGTCTCTCGGCAGTATATTAAGACGTTTTATAGTATTGAAAATGGACGGGAAACAACAACTAACATCATGGCATCGGAACTTACACAAGACATCGATAGACTGGATGGAACATGCTACCAAATTTTAAATATAACAACGATGGAAACTGCAAAGAAAGACTCCATGAAAATCGTGTATAAAAATAAGTAGGGAAATTTTCTTATTATGCAATTCAAGAACAAACGATTGCTACTTTTGTTATGAACTTATATCCCGTAGTGCCAATGTCATTCAGTATCGGCGAAGTATGCGCATATTTTATTTATTTGGTTCAGGTCAATGTCAGCCAATCCAGTCAGGTGCTCAGACATCGTCAGTGTGTGATCTGATCACGGGTGTTGAACTTGAAACCGGTTTTGTGAAGGCGAGGCAAGATTACTCAGACTTCAATTGCAAGAGTATAATTGAAGGCGTATATGCTTTTGAGTATCGCATTGTTGGCAGTACTGGAATGTGCAGAAGTCCGAATAGTATTCTCAAGGCCTGTCAACGTCAAGGATCCCCTCTGCGAGACAATTCAGTTTACGAACAAACTTTTGGATACTGCCCCAATTTTCTGGAAAAGTCGGTTCTAGAGGAACCAAATATCGTATATGGGAAAGCCACTTTGTGGCGATGCTACGCCAGATGGGTTGATGATGAGGGTACAGTGTGGGCCGCTGTTGAATATGATACCAACATGCCAAAATTCAAGTACCGCTGCCTCACCACAAGAATTGACCAGCAGAATCGGCAAGATATTATACAGTGGGGTATGTGCCAATGTATAGTGCTGTGATGAATATCAGTTAAAACTTTAGTGAGTGGAATACAAACAGCTTTCTCAATTTTATCATATGCACGCAGTCTAAAGTGAAAACTGGCAAGCATCCTGATCTTATAATTGAATTTAAATTAACAAGTCTTATTATTTTTATCCCCAAAGTGGTCAGACAAAATGGAGTTATTAAGACTTTACTCACTAAGTCACCGCGTTTTCCCGCCCATGTTAACTTTCTAAGGTTGTGCCAGCATTCATGATATGATCATGTCCAAAGTTCTTAAATGACATCACTTCCGAATTTGAAAACATCTTCATTTTTAGGAAACAGCCATCGTTTGCAAATAAACGACCTCCAAAAGCATAGACTGAAAACTTTTTAGAGTGGCGTTCAGTGTTAACTCAAAAAGCAATATTTCATTGCCAAATTGATTTTTTCGGTGGCATGTGTTCCTCAGGCTCTGATAGAGACCCTACAGCAGTTAAAGCTTTGAATATATAACTTTGGTTTCTGGTAGTAACACGCAACTACTAGCCCTGCAGACATTTTAATCATTTATCAACAAAAACTAACTAACTCTTTAGCTCACGTATTTCACAGGTATGACTGTGGATGCAGACTGCAAAAACCTTAAAGACTACTTCAGCGCACCGATTCGGTTGGTTTTGGAGCCTGCTTTTGACGCTGCGACGCAACTTATTGAAATGCAACCTAGCTGCAAGCTCCCGACTAATATCAGCGGCGACTGGTTTTACCCCAGTGAATATCAAACCACGGTTTGTTTTCTTATTGGTTGACTTTGTATTATATTGCTTAAACTAAATTTGTCTGGTTTCGAAAATGTCTACACCTTTAGAATTTTCACAATTACTTTCATTCCATATTACATCATTGTAGATGTTAAATCAATACCTGGGTCTGATAAATATAATTATCTATACGTTCATTTGGTCTCCGACAGACTGACGAAAATGAATAGAGAGGACATTGCTTTTATCTCTAGACCCTTTGTGCGCACACCCTCTATCAAGAAAATGGCTTTTTTTAAAAAAATTTCTGTTATGCTATTCTGAATTGTTGGCGGACTGACTGATGTCAAGTATTTCTTAACAGTATAATTATATACGTTGTGAAAATCTTTAGGTACTTGATATGGGGGGAGGCTGTGATGACTTGCTGCGTAATAAAACAGGAAACAGCGGAGGAATATGGAATCAAATATTGGCATTGTTGGCACTATTGTTGTTGTTGTATCTTTCAGCAGCTCAGTCTCAGAAACTGGCAAACCCAGCTCACTGTCCTATTATGTTTGCATCAACACGAAAAATTAGTCGGTTATTAAGTTCCGACAACAAAATCAAGAATCAACCTGACCGGTAGCCTACACTGCTAATGGTTGTTGATATGACAAAAACATAATGCGATTGTCTGCTAATTTCACCGGAAAAGTACGTCACAAACTTATCATTTTCGGATAACTGAACGACTAGGACTACGTTTTCGGAACATTAAACCCCTTACAGACATATCCCCGTGAATACTAACCCACACATAAGACCTTTTGGAGGTCGGATTTTTGTTACTTCATCTGTTCCCCCTTTTATGCCTTATTGCCGTTAGATCGGCAAATTATAGACCTAAAAACGTTTTCTTTGTATCAAAGCAGGCGGCATATTACAGTTATGCGAGTTTTCTAGCTGGGGGACTAATATTCGGACATTTTGCAGGTGAAAATCAACTCAACTCATATTTACATGCGACGACGGAGAGACTCCTACACTTTTGAGGATATATACTTCGTGTGCCGCCAGCAACAGCTTTCTCGGTATTTGATGGCTGTGGTCACAAAAGGCCAATGGTAATTGCTGGTTTTAATTTTTAAGTTTTAATCATTACTTTTTTCATTTACAGACCTTGTCCTGCTTTTTACAGTACGTTTGCTACAAACACCTCGGTCATTTTTGAATGCAAATGCTTCTGATATTTACGAGTATTTTGTAAAATGTAGGCAAAAGTTCACATTGGTTTGTTAAAATGTAATTGCAGAACGCTTTTGTCTTATTTAAGGGATCGACGATTTAAAAAAGCTCCTGGCCAGATGAATTTCAAATATAAGTAAGAAACTTAACCACCGTTTTGAATGGAGTAACTGCTGGACATTAAATACTGCGCATAGGAATAGCGAACGTTGTGGTCGAGGTAATTTACTCGGGATGTGAACAACAAGGCACTTAATTTGCGTGGTACAGGAATAAACAGTGACCAAACAGTGACTGGGTTTTCCCTCTTTCTCAAATTGACAGTGAAATCGACTTGATGTGCTTTGAACTGATGCCGCGTCATCACAACATTGCCCGTTTTCGCATGGGACGTCCCTTTCCCCTTGACCCGCGCACAAAAGCCGCTCTTGGTGCAGACTACATGCTGCGCATGTTCAAAGAGGCCTGTCATTGGAGCTCTTTCACTCTAAATTACATTGAATGGACGTACGAATACTTCGTCCTCGACCCGCCCGTTCCCATCAATTGTCCCATCCAGGGCAAATTCAAGTTCATCCAGACAGGTCAAGAGGCCGAAAAGTACGTCTTCAAGATGCCTCGCGGAATGACGCCGAGACCTTGGCTCCAGGTACGCTATTGGCTGAGGTCCCTTTCCTTCTCGAGCGTTTGTTCCAGCCGCAGCCAATAGAAGGCGATGACCAGTTAGTACTGGCCATTTAATAGTACTTTATAAGCTTCAGTGACACGAAACTTGCCCTTAGTTATATCACAATCCTAGAAATCTTGCCCTCAAATAAAAAAAACAGTACATCAATGAGGTTGCAGTATCCTGTAGTATGAAATCTTATCAGAAACTGGTTTCCGCACGGCAGGATGCCTTTATTAATTCTTAATCTCTCCAACTATCTGCTTAAACTATGCCAACCAAAAGCTTGTGCACTTTTGTCTGATTCCTGATATGCCCGTAAATTAGACGCATTTCTTGGGTAACATGCACCGATGTTTCGGAAGAAGGGTCTCTCTGGACAGCTGTTTTTGCAGAGTGTGTTCTGCACCTGATAGATATCTTCCTCGATAGTTTTATGAGAATAGATGCGCGGCACTCTAGACGCCATTCCCTCGGCTGAATTTCACTTTAGATTTAGACGAACAAAACCGTGAAGAAAAGTATAACGTTTCTGTTTGAGACATGCACTTTTGAGCGTTCGTGTAATCTAAAAGTTTCTGGTTACTACAGTTTTTTTGAAGAATGTGGAACTTTATCCACATTCACTGTAGTCTTTTTTACCCATCGGACAGTCTCGGAATAGGAACACATGTATTATTTTGACCAAATAATGCGTAGTTTCAGGCAGTACTTTTCAAGAGGATGCAAGCTCTCGGCAAATAACTGAAATAACAAGCATTTTGTTTCTCTTCCGCGAAATATGGTCGAGTTAGAACAATTATCAGGAAATGATGGAAAACAATACTTTTTTCCTAAGCAGTACTGATGTAGATGGCTAAACGATTCCCTGCAATGTGTCAGTATGCAGAATCCACACTGAAACCCTGCTTAGGTCATTTTTTCTTTCAAGAGCACGTTTGAAGGAGATTTCTCGAATGTTGCAGCCCCTGCTAATATCTACTTCTAGGTGTGCTTTTTCGTAATCGTTTTCTTGCAACTTTGAGATTCCTTGCCATGAGTACTGCCAACGATATAATTAGTCGAGAGCCGAGCTTTTTCAAACGTTGCCGTACTCCCTGAAGAGCGCGTTAACCGATTTTCTTGATTTGGAGGCGGAGAGTGGGGTTCTAATGTAGAACTCTTATAGATACTAAGCCAAATGGTCATTCTGGTCGTATTCGCCGTTTTAATGCCTCTCTTGCAGGTCCTGTGCTACGATTATTGGCAATCGGACATTCAAGCCTGCTTGGAAGATCCGAAAATTCTAAAACTGGACGTAGAGCAGTGCTGGCGTCTGGACTTCGCTGGCCATCCAATATCGGAGTACGACGTACCAGACAATTACATCAGCTGTGTTGGTTACTGGATGGAGGATACAAAGTCTTATCTGATCACATATGACCGAGAGGACCCCGTAAGTAGCTTTTGTTGTCCTAATTGCTTCCGTTATAATGCACAATAAGGACGAGTTTCTTTGCGGCACTTCTGACTGAGGAGTCTACATCTATTCGGACAATGGGGAATCGAACTCAGATTTCCCTGTTTTCCCAGTGGGCATATTATTTGACAGGCAATAGGACGCAGGAATAGGAGCCCAATCGCAATATAGGCGGCCTTGAGGTTAATTCCAGAAAGTTTGGGGTTGGAATCAGATATGGGGTTAGGGACACGGTTGTGGTTAGTGTTTGGGCTAGTGTTACGATTAGGGTTTGGAGAGAGAAACAGGTGCCCCCTAGAAGTTAACGCAAGGCCGTCTATTCCCTTTTCTCACATAACAGACTGTCACTGAGAGCACCAGATGAGCGTATTTGGGTCAGATTACAGTCCGCGGCTTCGCTGTTTATATGGACATGCTATTTCGCCAAATGTGTATGTTTTCTTTTAACTTTGTTGCCGTAAAGCTTTTCAATGTCCCCTGTATGCTCCATGAGTTATCCATGGGCCGGTCCTCCTGTCATATGTGGTCGAGATTTGTCAGTGCGTAGAAAATGGATCTTGTATCTCTGCTTAGTGAGGATGACAATCGGTTGCGCCAGGTTGGCAAGCCACAGAGACTCGAAGTAATAGAATTACCTCCCCCACCAAAAAAGAAATAATATTAGACTCTGGAAGTCCATTACTGACTATGGGGTGGATCCTAGTTGCTACTGAGTTCTCACTGTTGAATCCCTTTCAGTGGTCTCCCTAGCTCTTGAAGGAACTGCAACAGCGTTAAATATAGCCAACAAACTCGTTTTATCGTAATGCCGCAAACTCTGAAACTCATGGAGTATTTGGTAAAATCGAAACTATCTTTCTTGGGGAAGTGATACCATCAGATTTTTCCATTATTCCTTTAATGGGTGTTTTCGACTTATTTGAATAACTCGCTTGCAACATTTGTGGCATACTCGACGACTTGGTGTGGCTCGAATCTAGGACAGCAACCAAAAGTCTTGAAAACAGCCAACGCTCTAGCCATCTGAGCTACGATGCTCCACTGGGAGCCGTAATTTTAATCACATTTGTGTCAAGTTACCTACCCAGCCTACTGCGGCGTGTGGACTACACCAATTCCGGCATATTAAGCTGATTGCCCAAGCCGAATTTCTTAAGCAGTCAACTGGGTGTCCATCGGATGACCATCGGATTCACCTAATTACGAGGTACCATACGTGTCTGTGGGCTGGGCGGGTAACTTAACGCAAATGTGATTAAATCACGGCTCCTGGTGGGATCTCGTAGCTCAGGTGGCTAGAGAATTAGCTGTACGCAAAAATTTCCCTTCTTTTCGTGGATTTGAATATTACCGAGGCCGCCGGGTCTTTCACTCCTGGGCCAAATGAATTGTTTCTCCTTTACTCAGGATTCTTTATACATGGTGACATGTATTAAGGATGGATTTACGATATGTATGTCTTTTACGTCAATCTGCAAGCAATTAGCGCCTAGATGACGGATGTAGTTTGTACCTAAGAACTTCAGAAATCATTGCTGTCTGAAACGCAATCAGCGTTTTGGCATATTCGTACGAATATTCTTTGATGCGCCTTGATGATCCTTACCAGGTTGCTACGGAGGGCATCCAAAACCTCACAGAATATACACGCACAAGTAAGAGAGGGGAAAACGCGCTTTGTGCTGGAGTATCATTCCGAAATTATCAGTAAGAGCCTCCTCCATTCACAGTAACCGGAATACAAATAGATAGATAACGAGGGGGTAAGTGGAATTGCATAACACTGCGTAACTATTACGCAGACAGTTGGAATCTCAGTGTCTGAATTTCAGTCTTTTTACATGTAAGATGTCGTGTCATAAATGGTAAAAGGGAACGTCGATATGTCGATGTATGGCAAGGAGTATGGTGGAGGCCACGGCACATGAGGAGACGGGCAACAAACTTAATGGGCAGAATGGATAAATATACAGATCTTAGACGGCACGTAGATTCCGCGATGCGTTTAAAACATTACTTAAATTAGTTTACTCAGAAAAATGATTTTCCCATTTTGTAAAGTAGCCTCTGAGGAAGGTGGCAGGTTCCACGAATAGAATATGAAATTTCATTTCTTACAGTGCCTATCTAGAAATGTTGGCTGATTTTATACAAGAATATGAAAACAACTGGACACTGTTGTTCACTTTAGTGGTATTGGTCCCATCTTAACTCTTAACCTATGTTAATTCTAAAACCATCTTAACAGTTTGATAAAATTTTTCCCCAAGAATGCGAGGCTGTGAAAAACTAAGGCCAGGATTAATTTAAGTAAGTTGCTTTAAAAAAACGGTATTCTAGACCTTTATAGTGGCTTTATTAATTTTGGCGCATATTGTGTAACGGAAAAAGCTCTTTGGCACGATTAATTATTTGCTCGCCTGCGAGAGGTGTTCCTATCTTACATTTGCTTTGATTTTCATCTCATAAGTGAATTTTGGTACAACATATGGTTCTCAGTTTATCTAAAGTACTCAGGTAATCGTCTTATTTCTACCTTGTTGCGGTAAATCAGTCGGTATCGACTTTTCATATTCTTATAAAGGAAGACGGGTAGCTGCCACTTGAACTCATTGCTAATAAACGTTCAGTCCGACACAAAGTGTTTTTCGTTTTATCAGGGACTCCTAGATAACAGATTATGATCGTAAGTCGATGAAAAAAACGAGAAGCGTGTTCAAGTTAGATATAAATATTGCTCCTTCTGAGACCGCTAAATGTCACTCCACTGGTCGTACCATATTTCGTAAGCTGAAAAATTTCAAGGTGCTTAAGGATGGCGGTCATCTGGACTTCAATCACCGTGTTGAAAAAGCGTTCCAGTTTCGTCCCAACTCTGATGAGTATAACGTCGAACGCTAGTTCGTTCGACTTTTCTTCTCCTTTGCCTACAAGCCATATCTCTGAAAACTGGAGTTCGATAAAATCTGTCTGTCTGGGGGTAACTTCAGCGTCTGAACTGTTCAATATCTAGAAGGCTGAAATCTTGTCGCCCCCGTCTATCTGCAACCAAGAGTAGGCAGATGTACCGCACACAGTACTTATGGGAGTTAAGGAAACTTTAGTTAAGACACAATTTCGTGACGCATCAATAAACTCCCTGAGTTTGCTATTTAGTCATGTTCTCTGTGTTTTCACAATTTATTCCAGAGGTGGTCCAACGGAAGCTCTGGAAATTTTGCTGTGAAGACTAGTGTGTGTTCTATTAATCTCATCGTTACCATCATAAGTTTTGCCGCTTTTAAGGATTATGCTTTTCTGTTAAGTCGTCTTTCACCAAAGCTCCAAGATTCCTCTTCATCAGAGGTCTGCTGAAGAAGTATTGCTAGGAATTTCTTGTTCACCTTTGTTGTACTGTGTCAAAGACCCCGTCAGGCATTTGGATTTATTGAACTTCATCGGGCACTTTTCACCCAGTTTAAGTTGGCCGCCTACATGTCATTTGCAGGATAACTTCTTAGTCTGCGGTCCAAATAATCTGCGATACTTCAGAGTCACCTGACCTCGTCCACCAGAACCCGCGTGCGGGTCCGTGGAGACATCACTGTTATCAGCAGCCTACTATCACACGTCCCTCAGCATCATTGATCCTGTTCGCAAGAAAGAATTTTTAGCCATCACAGAAGGTTATCGCTTACATCCAGCTGAGCGGACTTATGGCAGCGGTATTGGCGTGGAACACAGTCAACCCCTATGTCGAGGTAAAAAGAGTCAGTATCCTCAGATCACTCCGTATCCAGAATGTTCGTCCGATCTCTCACTGTGGTTAAACTACCTGTGGGGCAAGGATAGGCAACGCCGCGTGTCCTTAAGGTGAGACCCTTTACCCTTAGTTGGTTCCGTCTCTGAGGACGACTTCCAGCAAGAATCCGAAAGGTCAGGCTACTGGAGCTCTTGTTCCAACGAACACGTCTTCTTCTTCGCGACTGCTTCCTGAAACTCGCCTCTTCGCTACTACCGCCTTAACGTACATGTTTGTCCGACAGTGGAGCTCGGTGCTCATTAGTGAAGTCTTTCCGTCTAGCAATAAATGCCCCTAAAACTGACTCACCTGAAGTGGTTGGCGTTGATCACCTTTGTGAAAGGGCATGACATGTCTCCGTTTCCACGAGTCTGAAAGCCTACCGCAATTTAACGCCCGTTGAAATTTGATAGGGAAGACGTCTACCAGTTCCTTCTCTAGCTACCATGCGGGCCGGATGGTGTATCCGAGTTCAAGTTTTGCAATCTCAACGTTAACATTGATTCGGCAATCTGAACCAATTTATGGACGCGGCTTGGTGCCACAGTTCTGCGTAGTGTCCCTTTTTGTTCATTAACAAGACCAGACGGTTGCATTTTATGATGTGCGGTGAAAAATGTTAAAATTTTAAAAATTAGGGTTAGGAAAGAAGGAGACGATAGTTTAGTTACTCAACCCTAGTGCGTTTTATTGAATCTCCGGTTTTTTTAAATTGTGCAGTACTTACGATAAAAAGATCCGTCCGTACTGAAAGGACCTAGACAGAAGTTTTGTTTTCTGATGACTCGCGGACACAATCGCGTTTTCCTCGTCTTTAAGTGCGGCGTGGTAATCAATGTAATTATTGCGTTTGCGTGTAAGCTTGAGGGTGATTTTTATTACTAAAACGTTTCGACTCGAAAATTGTACTCCTAAGAAGACTGCGCCCCGTGACCTAACTATCTACATGTCCATCTCGGGGTTTTGAGCTGATAAAACCTCTGGATGTCATTTGTAACAACACATTTCGGAGCCATTGGCTCCTTCTTGTCCATTTTTTTAGCCAGCACGTGTTCCGTCCTAGGGGCTGAGTAAAATTTGTATGGGTGAGGCAATAGCCCAGTCCAGTGGGTCCCTCGTTTTTTTTATTTTTGGCCCAGTTGCCTAGTTATGCTGCACGTCTTTGCAGAGAAAATAGCTTTGGTACGTTCTTTGTGTAGATTGTCTTGTTGAGACAATCATATAGTGAAAACGCTCTGCGACTGTCTCTGCTGATGGGTTCGAGCAAGAATCCAGAACCTCAGGTCAATAAACTTCTTGCTCCAGTGATCGCATCATCTTCTGAACAGTCGTGCAGGAAAACTGCTTTCCGTTATTTGTTTTTGGAGAACTGGGATTGACTACTGAAATTTCAGCCATTAACGCTGCCGTCTGACTCCGTTCACCCCGCCCATATGGCGTGGCCAACGGCTGGGATTTCTAAAAGTGGCCTAATTTATTAAATTTTTCGAAGGAAAGTAGCGGGTAGTTTACTTGTGCGGTTGTTTCTGTAGGGGTATCTACGCTAGGAACGTCCACACACTAACCGTATTGCAAAAACCTACAGTATTATCGATGTGTTGTGCTAAAACCAAAGAACGAACGACGCTTTGGGCTGGCCCCTATTTCCCAACATCCTGATTTGGCCCAGTCCTAAGGGGGAAGGGCATGTGCTAGCAGTTAAGTCATTCTGATAGAATACTTTAAACCATTAACTGTCCGCACGATATGCATGCAGCAGCCTTTGCAACAAACCTTCAAATCTGTCCCTACAATCATTTATATGTTTTTTTCAATAGATTCTGTCTATCAACGTCCTCTACAGCTTATCTCACAGACCTAATTCCCTTTTCGAAGACTTTTTGCGGATCATTCATTTTCCTTCACTATAAAAAGTACTTTCAGTTCCCTCGTCGAGGTGTCATAGTCATTCGAGCCAAGTGGAGAGCTGATGATTATTTTGCCAACATTTTATTTCCCTGCCCAGGCAGTTGGGCCTTTGTCTGTCCCGATACCTTTTTAGACAAAATGTTCGTTGAAAGAATTCACCCAGGGAGAGAGAGCTTACATCATTCATCAATCATCGACAAATTCTGGTTTATCGTGGGCCCATTAAACCTGCCAATGCGAACAGGCTTTCTTCACCCACCCCATAGTGATTTAGGAATTAGTAGCCTGAAACTAGATTAATCTCCTCTAAGACATAGAGGATTAGATTGCATAGCCTCATTTCAATATGTTCTGCACTTATCATGTTCTTCACACTTAACTTATGTCACTCTTTAAGAAAGAGGCTTATTCCTCCCTTTTTGCTCTCTCTATCACGATCATGTGATTATTAGCCGTCTGTTTGCAGATTCCAGTTACATGTTTTGCCAGTGAATCCTTGCGTACGTACCGATTTGGGTCCTAGGCAAACTTCGATTACGCTTTGTCTTCATAAAAAGGGGAGCCATTTTTATTTTCTAAAGGTTTTCCCCAACTGACAGCATATAGCTCTCGAACTCCTGTCTCTCGTTTTCGTTCAGATGGCCGAGTATAGCTGCTCTTTGACACCTATAGTAACTTAAGAAGATTTGTCGAGAATGAACTAGATGGCACCCTATCAAGGTGGGTGAAATAGGGCGTCACGCGTGTCGGCGAGCGACCAATTATTTGACATTACCTCCCGAAAAAAACCTCAACCGAAGCCTTATCACCCGATTCTAGATTCCACTGCCCCTGCCTGAAACCCAATCAGCTAGTGCTAGACACGCAGTTCGAGAACCTGCTGAATCAAACCCACGACCTTCAGCCAGTTTCGGCAGAGACTATACAACATCTTATGTCCACGTTAGTCAACTGCCTTTGTGAGTACCTGAGCAGTGGCCACAAATGTCGAGGCTTGCGGACGAAGTCCAACATAGAAAAGTTAAGGCAAACCCCGTAGAACAAAGATATTCTAATAGGTAGACCAGGTAAATCAGAAGGCGTTGTTTTGGTGAACAGGGCAGACTACATTAAAAAGACAGTCAGCTCTGTTGGATCAGGAAAATTTAAGGACAGAAAAGGAGAGGGACGGCACAGGCCAGGCTGGAACACAACTGACCGGCTGTTTAAGAGGATTTCAAGCAGATGGTTTCATAAGTGAACACGGCGTAAAACGTCTCCAACCAATTTGCACGCATATACCTCGGTTATATGGCCTGCCGAAGAGCAATAGAGATGGCACGGCGGTTCGTCCAGTCCTGGATATGAGGACCTCGCCGTACCATACGATAGCGAATTGGCATGCGGATAAACTTAAGCCGTGCAATATCAACCAGCGTCACATAGCTATCGAGATATTTTTGAAATCGTTAGCAGAGTGAAGGACCTCGACCCAGTAGGAATGGTCATTTTTTTCCGGATTTCATGTCTCTCTTTAGGAATGTATCGGCCACGGGAACCGTCAAATACCTCTGTGGCTCCATTGGCCTCCATTTGGAGGATATAGGAATGCTGGTGAATGTCCTCAAGGAGTTATTATTCAGATGCATCTTGAACGTTCAGTTCCTATATAAATACAATCTGTATAGAGTAATGGACATAGTAGCATTGAGCTCAGCTCTTGGACCGCTTTTGGCGAAAATATCCATAAACAAGCCAGACGCCTGCCAGCTTTATCATCAGATCAACGATCTGAGGTAACATGGACGCTACGTGGATGATATATTCGGGAGTACCCCTCAACAAAACGACGTCTCAGTTTCCCTGGATGATATAAATCAGGCGAACGCATCAATTAAATTTAGGATGGAAGAAGAACAGTTCTGGTCGTTTCCCTCTCTGGATGTGCGTCTATCGTAATAAAGCGTGGTCCGGGCAACACACCTAGTTTCGGGATTTCGTACCACCAAATTAGAAGCCTAAATTGGTCTGCTTTTGGCAAAAAGGGTTGGAAGGATCTGCTCGGCCGAAAGCATTAAGAGGGAGGGCTTAAGACTGTCAAACGACTCCTTCTTCAGAACGGGTACCCTGATCTGTTAATGTCTAAAAACATGGCCGAAAGATCACTAAAACTTCCGATGCTGACATCAGGAAAGAAACGGCTTTATAGCAGAGTTCTATTCCGAAGGGACACCCCGGGTGAATTTTTAAGAAGGCACCTAACTTAAGCTGTATCGCGTACCTTCTCAACAGTTGGCGCCCGTTCACTGTTCCTCAATATTCCCATCTCATACGGAGAGGATAAGGGCAAACTGCCTACCCAGACCACCTTCTTCGTCTGCTCCTGTGAGGCAGAATATATCAGTCGCACGAGTTGCCGTTTGTCCAAAGGAATAGAACATCTTCCAGCTCGGTTAGGAAGGGGTCAAATGAAGAACATTAACAGCTCTATCCTCATACACGTGGTAAGTACGGATCACCGTGTAGATGCCGGTGAAGCTTTCTGAGTGATTTGCAATGTCCTGTCAAGCTATCCAAAGGCATTTGGACAGCGTCTGTTGGCTACGACAGGGACAGCTGCAATAACGTTACGCAATCCGGTCCTGTGTGTACAGAAGAACTTCGTACAGGTTTCACATTTGTCGTGGGTCGAAGCCACTGCGCCAGCTATCCAGACATAATTACCTTTTCCGGCGACCGCCGTCGATCGGACGCTGACTGCAATTTCGTACTTCACTTCCCCCCGCAAAAAATCCAACTACATCATACCTATTTACTTTTCTGCGTCTTCTTTCATTATTTCAGTAATAAATGTGCAGGTCTGAAGTGAATTTACAGAAAGCAAACGTATACCCGCCGAATTGTTTTTTTTCACATTTTTCAACCCGAGTTTTTGCAGTTCTGTGTAATTTTTACTAATTAGTTGAGAAGTAGCACTCATTCTTTTTCGAGCTGTATTGTATTCTTCAAACGTCGGCCTCGATTTCTGCTCGAATGTGAGTAATGCTCTGTTTTTTACGGTAGATCCAGAACCAAGGGATCCACTCCGAATTGCCAAAGCACATGAGAGTTGTCCTTGAAAAATAACGTGAAAAGAACTCCATCTTCTCAGGCAGGTTGAAAAAATTGAGTTGGTTCGGTAAAGGTTGGCGTATATTGAGCCATCTGGTTGGGGGCAGGAAAGCACCCGATTGTGTTCTGTTGTGAAGGTGGTTGTTAAAGGATTTAAACTTACAGAAGCCCCTGTTAACGTCAAGGGAATAGAGATCTGGATCGAGCCGAAAACGACAAGTTTGCATCCTAACTCGTTAAACATGATGGCAGAAACAAATGCGATGATGTTACGTAAATAAACATTACACATTTTGCTCATTCGTCAAACTTCCACCAGAAAATTTCCTTTTCTCCTGTAGAATATGTGTCTAAGTAATTGTATCAGGCAAAATGTTTAGAAATTTATGCAGAAATCGGCATTACGGTATATTCGGACGATTGCTTATGTTATTCACTGTCCTAGGCCTAGTTTATGCATCTGAGTTATTTTTATTTGAGTGGCAAGTGAGTTAACTTTGAGAGCTTTACCAAACCGAACTTGCCATGCTTGCAAGTTGATTATTTGTCAAACATCTACCGTGGGAAGCAGGTTGAGAACGAACATCTAACTCTTTTGGAAAACCAGACGTTCGGTTGATTTTGAAAAGTCAGCTGTGCAATTCTTTGTGGTTTCATGTCCTAAAACGCAGCACCAGCGCCTATAGGCAATTCTTTGTTTAAATATGCCGATATTCACTTACCATTTGCCAATACGTTATGAGCGACCGTTGAAATAACCAACGTCGGACGTTCATTTTAAATTTTAACATATAAAAAGATCTTTTTTCGCGGGTTTGTTTCTGCTTGTACATAGTTTAGAAGCGGAGTGGACAAAATATTGGCAGTTTGAGGAATATGTCAGTATTTATATGGCTACCCTCCCGTGCATTCATGATCGTAGGACGACGCCCAAAAGTAAGCAAAGATAGCAAGAAGAGCTGCAGTATTAAGAAAAGTGCAAGTTCTTGCATTTGCAGTAGAAAAATTATCAACCTTCAGGATAATTAAAAACAGCCAAAGTGCCGATTTTGCACGTGCTTTTCCGTGTGAAAAGGTCAAGTATGTGTACATCTATCAATAAAATACATTATTAAATCACCTTTTACGTGGATGACTCACCGCAGAAAGTTCTAATTAAGAAAAATGCAAGTTCTTGCGTTTGCGGTAGAAAAATAGCCAAATTTCAGGAAAATGAATATGGCTTTTCGTGTGAAAAGGTCAAGTATGTGGACATCTGTCAGTCGAATACAGTGTTAAATCACCTTTTAAGCAGATTATTCATCGCAGAAAGTTTTTAAATTGAAATAAAGAATATTTATATTGTTTTCGCTTTGGTCGCCACTGCCGTCCCACAGATTGAACTTTTTGTCATTCATTAACTGAGCTCGCTTTTGCTCCATTCGATTAAGGCAGTATTTTGCCCGTCAATATATGCGCTCAGTGTCAGATGAGGACAGATTCGCCATGTCTGTTTCCATCCTGGATCGCTTGGTTTGAGTGTTATATGTGTCCCTACGTAAGTTTATATGCATTTGGGTATGCCTCTGGAGGGTTACAGGCACAGTCTTTGGTAAGCCGGACAAGAAAAATTCAATATGTTCATGCTCGTTCAGTAGAAAATGCAATTGTTTGTAATGTGACCACATATTCTTCGCAAAATCTTTGTAGATGAGCGCTGTTGCTCACGGCGGCTCCGCGTAGTGGGTGCGTAATTCGCGAATTTTGTTTCAATGCTGGTTATACGTAGTTACATTGTGAGAGGCCATAGCTGGTAACGATAGCATGCTAACCGACTCCTGTCCTTATGGGCTCTACCTTTAAATTGCACTCTAACGATTTGAGGACTTAATATACGCTCCGCATTTCAGGTAACCAATCGCTTTCGCTGTTGGGTATACCAACGACTGAGCCTCCGCACTTACGCCATGTCACGAAGCCTAGGCAATCGCTGTGGTAAAATGCAAACAGCAGAATCCTCCCTGCCGGAGGAAGGAGCATCCCTACGTCTCGAGCTTGTCGAGAACGAGTACGAGTTCGATGTCTGTCCAATGGCCTTCGACGACGGCAAGAATCCATACGCAAATCCTGCGGTCCTTAACGTCTACGCCCCAGGCTGTCGTGTGCAATCCCCACAGCTTCTGCTATTGGGCCTGTTTGTATTGCTGACCTGGACGTTACTCAACCGTGGCGGGATCGATGTACTCTGACTAAAAGGCTCCCATTTAACATGGCAATTTTTGTATATACAAGACTGTGTCACTGCATTTTGCCCAATTTAAATCGACTTTTCTCTCCTTACTGTCAACACACCGAGGTTGTTATCCAGAAAAGGGGGAACACCACAAATAAGTAACTCTAAAGGGCATTTGCTATTCACGTTTTGCAGGATAACTGGACCACTTCACAGGTTGTCATTTTAAGGATCTAGTTGGGCTAACTAGATGAAAGTACATTAAGCAGTATTGAACTACAGTTGGCAATGAGGAGTGTATTCCTTCAGCTGATGTAGGTTGGTATTCGGACAGTCTTCGGTGCCTATGGATGAGACTTCGCACCTTCAGATCATCCACCAACATTGTTGTTTTGTAGTCAACTTCTCTCACGCCCCGCTTGTACATATCAAAAAAATGAATTCCATTATTTGTTCCTGGGAAGTCCGGCTCCAGACACTTGTACCATTAGCCTATCAATGTAGACTGCTCGCGAATGGCTGGTATGACAGTTATTCACTGAAGAATGTCCTGACCCACATAGTTTCTAGTTTTTACAACATCCGTTTGTGTGATACAATATCGAACACCTTTCGATAGTTTATTTTGGTGACCTAAAAATCATAAACATCGTTGAATGCTCAGAAAAGATCGCGTCAATTTAGCCTCTCAGAACATTCTTTCAAAGAAAACCGTGATGACAGCCTTACCTTGAGTTGTGTCTCTTTATATCTGCATGGAATTTCCGCTTTTCGCTGAATTCCAACTGGATTTTCTCGAAAGCGATTACATGCTAGTATGTCTCTGACCTCCAGTTGGCTTCACAGAAGAGTCCGACGGTTAATCTACATCCATAGATTCGGACCGCGTACAGAATAATTCAATTAACAACTTTGTATCTCCATTTAGGTCCAAACCTTTATCCACAACTGATGTTGCCTTTCTTCCTGATGTGAAAACAAAGGATATGAATGATAGTCTATAATATATACAGCAACGTTGTCAAGTTGTCTTTAATCGACTGCCGCATTCCTCACTCGTTCTTCACTACATTAAAGCAGTTTGGCAATCATTTACAAGATTTATTAATCAGTTCCTTTTTCGTCCATTCAGAATTCCAGGTGATTGTTAAGTTAACCCACATATGCTAATTAAACGCGAAAAGAAAATACAACCACTTGCAGGCGCTGATTCACAGCCTGTGGAATCACTTTTACCAACTTCCACCTGTAGGTCGCACCATAATGCAGCCCCAAATTTTCCCCCTTCTGCATAAAACCGAAATAAAAACTCATAATGACTTTGACAAACTGGGATTCTTCAGTATTCTCCTGGCTAGACACCGTGCTAATGTGCCTGACCAGTCGCCTTCCATTCATCCGCCTATAGAGACCTAGGTTGGATACCAGTGTCGCAACACTCCGTTTCTGATGCTAGTATTATTGCAGTTAGTTACCCATACTGTAAGCGTTGTTAGAGTAACATTGGCAGCCGTGGTGGCGGTGGTAGTAGTAGTAGTACTAATAGTAGGATTATTATTAGAGTTCGCCGTATCAGTGGTGGTAGACGGGGAAAAAGTTTTCTTTAGTGTTGCGACACTGTATTCCCGCCAGTGGTAGTAGTATTAGTAGTAACAGCTGTAGTAGTGGTAGTAGTAGCAGTAGTAGTGGTGGTGGTAGTAGTAGTAGTATTAGTGGTAGTAGTATTAGTAGAAGTAGTATTAGTAGAAGTAGTAGTAGTATTCCGCCCGTAAGACAGGCTGGTGGGGGAATAGACAATTCTAAGTGTTGCGACACTGTATTCCCGCCGAGACCTATTTTAACACATTTCAACTCATTTGTAAAAAACTGGGCGGCATCAGTGGAAATATTATCCTACTACAACAAGAGCAGGGTATGGGGACAGCCGAATCTCTAACCACCTGAGCCACGAGGCGAGAGTAGAAGCCGTGAGATTAATCGTATTTGGGTAAATGTACCCGCCCAGCCTACTGCAACATATGGAATCCACCAAATCGGATACATTAAGCTGACTTCCCAAGAAGAATTTCCGAAGTAATCAATATAGAACCCGCCAGATAACTACTAGACCCAATTAATTAATATGTGTTTAGCAGATTTTTAATAATTCATTTTGACCCAATTGTAAAAGTGTTTGCGGTTTCGGTGTGATTAGGACATACAGCAACCAGGGCAAGGCTTGAGGACAAAAGACGTTCTAACTATTGCTCTGCGCTGTCGTGGGTTCTTATCCCACCGAGGCCGCCTATTTTTCACAACTAGGTCAAAATGAATTATTCAAAATCTGTCAAAACCCCCATTAACATACTTTAACATCATCGGCAGCCATCCTAAGATAATTTTAAAAAGACAAGCCTTTTAAATTATTTCACTCTCTGGAAATAACAGTCTTCAGAATTAACTTAAGAGGGAGGTGTCAGACTTAATTTGGTCGCTCAAATACTGATTCTCAATCTCATTTTCGGGCGGATGATTGTATCTAGCATGTCACACACCCGTCATCCTCAATCTCTCAGTAAAATAGAGCTAATTTTCTTATATATTTTACACTAGTCAAACCCAAAATGAGCGTTAAAGAGTGATCATTAGAAACGTATGGGAAGGACTTTGGTCGGAGTATCAGTGTTTCGCTAGATGATAGTGAGAATGGCGCTGTCGGAACAGGAAGATTATGAATTTCGAAGTTTTCATTTTCGAGGAGTACACTTTCTTCGTAATTCCGATATGTTGGACGTTGTTGCAGCCTGGAGGCTAGTAGAATTCAGTTTGAACCCCTAGTGCCTTTATCTACATGAACTAACTACAAGACCTTTACAGGAAATATCAGTCTCCTTCTGACAGTTTCTCCAACATCGGTTCCCAGGGACATAGGTCTGCAAACGGTTAATTCATTTTGACGATTTCCTAATAAATTTTGTTTTAGCAAAACACCTCGCTCTCTAAATTAGGAGACATTTCGCTCCTTGCCCAATCAGCAATGATCATCTCATTTCTGCACTGCTCTCCGTTAGGAGAAATTACAGGAATTCCGTGGATTACTAGATTCAACCCTGAGAACTTTGGCGACAGCACGAAAGGAGGTGAACCTACCCTACCATCCCACGATATTCACTCTAGTCAAATAAAATACTGAGCGTTGGTAACGGCCAGAAGGACTATGAAGATGGGGATTCTGTCAGCAGATCACCTCCGTTAAATGAACAAAGGGCCTGGTAAGTTTAGCGGATGTCAACTACGAGGACGAAACTTGTACAGCGTGTTCAAGACTCCTTCAGAAACTCTTGAAATTAAGAAGAAGACAGATGCCTCAAGATATGAGCTGAGGGATTCAAAAAAACTTACTCATTGTGGACTTAGAGAGAGAGAGAATACCGGTGACATCCGGGATCCAAAAAATAAACAACCTACTCTGGCAGGGATTTCTCAGTCATACTTAACGCGGGGGGAAGTGCAGCACGCCCACAAAGTTTACCACAAAATGGGGATACGAAGGAAAGATGTCACCAGTTCCTGCATCGCACACCTGGCTGCATAACAAGCTACTGTGTCCTCAGTGGATGGTTAATTATGCTGATTGACTTCTATAGGATCGTCGTGTACGGACAAGTACGCAGGAAAGAACAAGATGTCCGCTAAATTAGAGCATTAGAATCACAATATATAACAGTATTGGTCCTCAGTAGTTCATGAAGCGACCCAGGAAGGCACAAAAGTTTAGTTGTTCCTGATACTAGTGTAGGAGAGACCAAGAGAAGCTGCCCTCATATTGACAAAGGATGTTACAAATTTGCAAGGTGACTCGGTGTTTGCAGAAATATGTGTTATCTGTATTATTACGAATCGCCATGAATCGAATAATAAAAATAATAGTACTAGCGCTAAGGGTCAAAGCTCCTTTCCTTATGCAACCCGCCTAGTAAATCTGAAGCTCTTCCCTTTGAGTTACAGGCAACTCCGCGGGGATCTCTTGCAAGCCTTCCGCATTATAAACGGGTTGGATTGCAGTCTGGCCTTCGAGGACTTTTTTGAATTTGCTACCACGACCAACCTCCGAGGTCACCCGTAAAAACTACGCACTCAGTAGGCATGGCTGGATGTGCGGAAGTTCTCCTTCTCGGTTCGGGTGGTCAAACCATGGAATGAGCTTCCCGCAGATGTTGTGATGTCATCATCTATGCAAAGTTTTAAGAAGAATCTGAACATATTTATGTTCCGAAATGGCCAAGAACGATGAGAAGTCGAGCTCACCCCCTGTAACTCCTTCTCATTTTGTCACACCATTATGGGCGTGTTCGAACTATTTCAGCCCAGAACATCTATCTGTACACCACACATTTTTACGTTGCAAATAGGGTACTCAAAGGCTTACGCCTATTTCCCTCAATAAGGTGAACTGAACTGAACCACCGCACCTTAAGAAAATCGACTGTATCCTCGAATAGTTTGCAGTGAATGAGTCGTCTTGAAGATCTCGCGCGAGTCCCTTTTTGACGTCCCCGCGGACAGAGTATACCAGAATATAGGATCCGTCCTCCTTTTACTCGACAAATGAAGACCCTACGTAAGGAACGCGAGACCGAGCGACTGACATGGGTCTTCCAAAGTCAACTGAACTTTACTTCCGACAAACCTTGTTTATGTTCAGGTCTACGTTCGCATTGTATGTTCTCAGTTCATCAGTTTATTGAGGGAAATGGGCGTAAGCACTTGAGTACGTTATATGCAACGTAAACATTTTTGGGTATACAGATACCTGTTCTAGGCTGAAATAGTTCAAACACGCCCATAATGGTAGGACAAAAACAGAAAGAGTTACAGGGGTGAGCTCTACTTCTCATCGCTCTTGGTCATTTCGAAACATAAATATGTCCAGATTCTTCTTAAAACTTTGTATATATGGTGACATCACAACATCTGCGGGAAGGCATTCCATGGTTTGCCCACTTGAACAGAGAAAGAGAACTTCCGCTCATTCAG